GGTATGTATATGGGTGGATGGTGGATGGATGGGTGGACAGACAGAAGGTACATAAGAATGGCCACACTGGGTCAGACCAAAGGTCCATTTAGCCCAGTATCCAACAGTGGCCAATGCCAGCTGCCCTAGAGGGAATGAACAGAACAGGGAATCATCGAGTGATCCATCCCCTGTCGCCCATTCCCAGCTCCTGGCAAACAGAGGCTGGGGATGCCATCCCTGCCCAACCTGCCTAATAGACTTATCCTCCATGAATTTATCTAAGTCGGTTTTGAACCCTGTTATGGCCTTGGGCTTCACAACATCCTCTGGCAAGGAGTTTCACAGGTTGACTGTGCGTTGTGTGAAGAAATACTTCCTTTTGTTTCAGAGTAACAGCCGTGTTAGTCTGTATTCGCAAAAAGAAAAGGAGGACTTGTGGCACCTTAGAGACTAACCAATTTATTTGAGCATGAGCTTTCGTGAGCTACAGCTCACAGTCTTAAACCTGCTGCCTGTTAATTTCACTGGGTGATCCCTAGTTCTTGTGTTATGAGAAGGAGTAAATAACACTTCATTATTTACTTTCCCTACACCAGTCAGGTTTTATAGACCTCTATCATATCCCCCCTTAGTCATCTCTTTTCCAAGCTGAAAAGTCCCAGTCTTATTAATCTCTCCTGATATGGAAGCTGTTCCATACCCCTACTCACTTTTGTTGCCCTTTTCTGAACCTTTTCCAGTTCTAATATATCTTTTTTGAGATGGGGCGACCACATCTGCACACAGTATTCAAGATGTGGGCATACCATGGATTTCTATAAGTATGTATATGGATGGATGGATCGAGGGGGTGTATGGGGATGGATGGATGGATAGATGGACAGATAGAGAGTGTGTATAGGGATGGATGGATGGATAGAGAGGGTGTATGGGGATGGGTGGAGGGATGGATAGAGGAACCCAGGTGTCCTGATGTTTCCATGCCTGTCGTTACGGCGTTTCCAGCCAGTCGCAGCATCTCCAGGGTGGGAACCCGTTCTGGAAAAACACCCAACACTGTCCCTGCCAAGACAGAAAGGCGCAGACAGGTTGCAGTCCTGCCACCTCACCACTAGATGTCAGGCCCAACCCTGTCTCGGCTGACGCCTGACGCCTGCTCTGAGCTGGATCCAAGCCTGTGCACAAGCCGATTGCTTCAAGGGATGGGACACGGGACCTTTCCCGTCTAGGGGGCGTTGGTTCTGATCCAGTCCCAGGGCAGGCGATTGGCTGGCTCTGGGGTGACCCGACTCCTGTGACATGCAGAGGCCTGTGGGATGCCTAGCTGGGAGCAAGACACACCAGCCAGGCAGCGAGAGAGAGAATTCTTGGGGCCGGCTCAGAGCGCTGGGTCACACCATCCAGTGTCCCGTCTCCAGCCGTGGCTGATCGCTGACGCTTGGGACAGGCCTCGTGGTCTCACCACGTTCGGTGGTGCAGTGAGACGCAGAGGAGGAAGAAAACTCCAAAGAGGATACATCTGGCCAGCTGAGCAACAGGGGAAAACCTATTCCTTCCTGACCCCAGGTGGCGGAAGCCACGAAGCATGAGATTGGATTTTACATGTTGTCTTCATGCAGAGCTGCAAGGGCCAGGCCCATGCTGCGCACAGTACTGGTGATTCTCTTCTCCCCGAGGCCCCTGAAGGATGGGGACGGACAGGGAGATTTGTAGATTCACACCTGCTAGGACCAGAAGGGCCTGCCACAACCATCCTGCTCACTTGCATGCACGCAGGCCAGCGAATTTCTCCCAGCAGCTGCATCTCGGGCAGAGATCTAACCACGTCGGAATGACTCCCAGCCATGGGGCATGCACCACCACCCCGGCACGCTGGTCCAATGTTGCATCGCCCTTCAGAGTTAGGAAAACACCTCTGATTTCAAGGTTGAATTTGTCCAGCCTAAACTTCCATCTGTCGGATCTTGTGAGGCCTTGGTCAGCTAGGTTGAAAAGCTCCCGTCTAGGATCCAGCCGCCTTTGAACTTTATCTTTGTTCAGCTGAATAGACCGAGCTCCTTAAAGCTTCTTACCCTGCCCCTGGCTCATTTCTGGGGCCCTCCTAGGAGCTCGCGCTGGTATTTCCACCTCTCCTTGAACGCTGGACGTCGGAGCAGGACACAGTGTTCTAGCAGCAGTCGCACCAATGCTGTGTAAAGAGTTTCCCATCGGTGGAGCCTGGGCTGCCCCTGGGTCAGTGACTCGGGCAGCTTCTGCCAATCCACACACAGGCCCTGTTCAGTGGGTTAAGATCCTATCACTGCATGTGGTTAGGGGGTGGGGGGAGTCTGGGAGCCAGGACTCCTGGGTTCTCTCCAGAAACAACGAGAAGTCCTTGTTAGTCTCTAAGGTGCCACACATTTATTTGGACATAAGCTTTCGTGGGCTAGAACCCACTTCATCAGATGCATGGAGTGGAAAATACAGGAGCAGGTATAAGGAGTTGCCTGGTGGGAGGCAATTTACCAAGGATGGGAGTTGCCTTACCAAGTGTGAGGTCAGTCTAAGGAGACCATTCAATTAACAGCAGGATACCAAGGGAGGGAGAATAACTTTTGAAGTGGTAATGAGAGTGGCCCATTTCAGACAGGTTTCAGAGTAACAGCCGTGTTAGTCTGTATTCGCAAAAAGAAAAGGAGTAATTATGGCACCTTAGAGACTAACCAATTTATTTGAGCATAAGCTTTCGTGAGCTACAGCTCACTTCATCGGCTGCATACTGTGGAAAGTGTAGAAGATCTTTTTATACACACAAAGCATGAAAAAATACCTCCCCCCCCACCCCACTCTCCTGCTGGTAATAGCTTATCTAAAGTGATCACTCTCCTTACAATGTGTATGATAATCAAGTTGGGCCATTTCCAGTTGACAAGAAGGTGTGAGTAACAGTAGGGGGAAATTAGTATGGGGGAAATTGGGTTTAGGTTTCGTAATGACCCAACCACTCCCAGTCTTCATTCAGGCCTAATCTGATGGTGTCCAGTTTGCAAATTAATTCCAGTTCTGCAGTTTCACGTTAGAGTCTGTTTTTGAAGTTTTTTTTGTTGAAGAATTGCCACTTTTAGGTCTGTTATTGAGTGACCAGGGAGATTGAAGTGTTCTCCGACTGGTTTTTGAATGTTATGATTCCTGATGTCAGATCTGTGTCCATTTATTCTTTTGCGTAGAGACTGTCCGGTTTGGCCAATGTACATGGCAGAGGGGCATTGCCGGCACACAGTGGCATATATCACATTGGTGGCTGTGCAGGGGAACCAGCCCCTGATGGTGTGGCTGATGTGGTTAGGTCCTGTGATGGTGTCCCTTGAATAGATATGTGGACAGAGTTGGCACCGGGGTTTGTTGCAGAGTTTGGTTCCTGGGTTGGTGTTTTTGCTGTGTGGTGTGTGGTTGCTGGTGAGTATTTGCTTCAGGTTGGGGGGCTGTCTGTAGGCAAGGACTGGCCTGTCTCCCAAGGTCTGTGAGAGTGAGGGATCGTCCTTCAGGGTAGGTTGTAGATCCTTGATGACGCGTTGGAGAGGTTTTAGTTGGGGGCTGTAGTGGGGTTCTGTTACTGAGGACCCTCGCTAGACTGCGTGTCTACGTAGCACAGATTCACATTCAGCGCGGTCGCGGCCATGGATCCCAAATTTAACTACTTGAATTGCATTCATTTTAACGCGGTCCTCACTATAACGTGGTTCCCGCGTTAACGCAGTGCCACGCACGGATCCCAAATCCCGCGTTCTAGCGGGGGGTCCGGTGTACTTTCTTTGTTGGGCCTGTCTTGTAGTAGGTGACTTCTGGGTACCCTTCTGGCTCTGTCAATCTGTTTCTTCATTTCCCCAGGTGGGTACTGTAGTTATAAGAACGCTTGATAGAGATCCTGGGTGTTTGTCTCTGTCTGAGGGACTGGAGTAAATGCAGTTGTATCTTAGGGCTTGGCTGCAGACCATGGATTGTGTGGTGTGGTCTGGATGAAAGCTGGAGGCATGTAGGTAGGCATAGCGGTGAGTAGGTTTCCGGTATAGGGTGGTGTTTCTGTGACCATCGCTTATGAGCACCGTAGTGTCCAGGAAGTGGATCTCTTGTGTGGACTGGACCAGGCTGAGGTCGATGGTGGGGTGGAAATTGTTGAAATCTTGGTGGAATTCCTCAAGGGCTTCTTTTCCATGGGTCCAGATGATGAAGATGTCATCAATATAGCGCAAGTAGAGTAGGGGCATTAGGGGACGAGAGCTGAGGAAGCGTTGTTCTAAGTCAGCCATAAAAATGTTGGCATCCTGTGGGGCCATGCGGGTACCCATCGCAGTGCCGCTGATTTGAAGGTATACATTGTCCCCAAATGTGAAATAGTTCTGGGTAAGGACAAAGTCACAAAGTTCAGCCACCAGGTTTGCCGTGACATTATCGGGGATACTGTTCCTGACGAGAGCCAGGACTCCTGGGTTCTATCCCTGGCTCGGGGAGGGAAGTTGGTGTCTCCTCCATTTCTTTCTCCTCCACTCCCTGCAGCTCCCAGATTCCCAGGGTTTGAACTCTGAGGTCATAGGCCAATGGGCTGCCCGCTCCCCATGGCCAGGTCCTCCCCTGCCCTTCCCGGCCAGGTAATCCCAGCAGGGATCCTGGCTGGAGCAGAGGTGCCCAGCTGTAGGTGAGGATTTTCTCAGCCGTTCGTCACGGCTTTGAGGCAGGGGGTGAAGAGGGGGAAGAAAGTAGCAGCTCAGCACACTGCTGAGGGAGGGGGCAATGCAGCCACTGCTGGGGGCCTCTGTGTCCGGCTGGGGCCGGGGCAGGTACACCCTTGACAAGGTTACTGCAGCATTAGGCAGGGTGTTGCCTCTAGGGGGCGCCAGCTCCAGGACAGGGACTGGCTGGCTCAGGAAATGGGACCTTTCTCCTTTAGGGGGTGCCACTCCCCTCTGGACCCCAGTCCCCTCCCCGAGCTGGGGACAGACCCCAGGAGTCCTGGTTCCCAGCCCCCTGCTCTAACCACTAGCCCGCCCTCTCCTCCCAGAGCTGGGGACAGAACCTAGGAGCAGGCCTGGATTCACCACCCTGCATTCGATGCATTTGCACAGGGCCAGTGTCTCAACGCCACATCAAGGCTGGGGGCATGGGGCGGCCGGTACTCGCCTCCCACTGTACCTGCCGCAGGCCACTACTCGCTCAAAGCCCCATCCTCGCTCGGCAGGGCTGTGCCCGGAGCAGCCCGCAGCTTTGCCCCAGCTGCGTGGTCGCAGCACCACCCACATCGGACCCGGCCGCCCCTCTGCCCAGGCAGCATGCAGCGAATGGTGCCTGGCAGCGCATCTCAGATCTGCCCTGGCCCCCCTCCCGTCTGGACCTGCTGCAAGGGGACCTTGTCCCTGAGTGCGGGGGAGTCCACCAAGAACTTGCCTCCAGGCGACCCCCGCATGAGCTCTGGGTGTGGGAGGGAGAGGGACTGAGGGAGACCCTGGGTCCAGGGAGGGACAAGCAGGGACTGGAAGAGGGTGCCTGCCAGGTGGGGGGCAGGGACTGGAATTTGTCCCTCCGTCCCCTCCCAAGAATTGCTGCAAATGGGGCTGCGTCCTCACCTGAAATGGTGCTGGGGAGCGGGGTGGACCCATCGTCACACAAGGAGGCTGGCCAGCCGGGCAGGGTAAGGTAAGGAGTGGGGTGGGGAGACAGGATAATAGGGGGCTTGGGGCTCCCGCAAGGGCAGAGGATCCTGGGAAGGGGAGGGGGTAATGGGCTGGGGAGGGGGGGTTGGCAGTGGCACGGGTGTGTGTGTGTGTGTCAATTTCCATAGCGCACAGGGCCCAAGAACTGGCCCAGCCCCCCTCCGCTCTAACCACCAGACCCCGCTTCCCTCCCAGAGCTGGGCAGAGAACCCAGGAGTCCTGGCTCCCAGCCCTCCCCCCCCCCCCCACTCTACCCCACTAGAGAGGCAAGAACGGTGGTTCCAAGCCCCCCGCCAGGGGATGCGCCCTCAAGGCTGCTCCATGGGGCAGGCAGGATGAGACCAGACGGGCGCCTGCCCAGGACCCTGGCTAAGGCAGCCATGGCCTCCAGCCAGCGAGGAGACAAGGGTGGGCCCCGGGCGGCCGGCTCAGCCAGTCTGTCCCTTTTCCTCCTCCCGCCCCATTCTCTCTCCTCGCGCTCTCCTCTTCATTGTCCTTTTTTTGTCCTCTTTTTTCTTTGCTCAGTCTTTCTTTCTTTCTTTTTGCTTGGTTTTCCCTCCTCTCGTTTTACATTCATTCATTCTTTCCCCCTTTCTTTTTCATTCTTTCCGTGTGCTCTCTTTTTCATTCATTCTTTCTTTCTTTCTTTCTTTTCTTATGCATTCAGTCCTTTCCCTTCCTCTCTCTCTTTCCTTCCTTCTTCCCTTTTGCTCCCATTCCTTCTTTCCTTGGCCTTGCCCTCTGGTCTCCCCGCCCTCCCTCCCTGTGCGTGCTTTCTCGGGCTTTGCGGGGCACCCCATGCCGTGTATACGTGGGCGGCGGTGGGGGGAAGACAGCATTAGGCCTGCCTCCCAGCCTGGTTCTCCCTCTTCCCCCGTCACACCCAGTTTAGCCGCAATCCCACTTAAAAACCTGTACAACAAAAGGAGACTACAACTCCCAGCGCCCCTTGCGCCCGGGACGACACCCTGCGGCCCCCCTCCCCCCACCGCCTCTACGTGTCCGCGGCTCCGCTGTCCAATAGGCTCCGCGCGCGTGATCCCAGCGGGCCAATCAGCGGGCTGGCCGCCCTCCAGCTTATAAAAGCTTTGTCTATATCAGCCCCAGCCCCTCTCGCTCTCGCTTTTTCGGCCGCTTGGAACGTTCGCTCCCGGCGCGTTCGGCGGAGAGAACCTTGAGCTCCCCAGCGTTCTATTCTTCCAAGGGCGCCGGATCAGGCTAGACCAAAGGGAGGCAAGATGAGGGAAATCGTCCACATCCAGGCTGGCCAGTGCGGCAACCAGATCGGTGCCAAGGTGAGTGAGGAGCCTCGTGTGCTTCCAAACGAATGGAGCGTCATGAGCAAAGGGGGGGACGGGACGATCCCAGCATATTGTGTGTGTGTGGGGGGGTGTTAAGGAGGAAAAGGGTTTAAAATCCTGGATCTCCTGAAGGAGGAAACAGTGCCTCCGCCCCGGATTTTTTGGGGCGGCGGTGGGAGGGGCAGCAGCTATTGCTCTTGCAGGGCGAGTTTGGGGGAGGCGGCTCGATTTTGGCAATTGAAATCGAGGCGGGGTGGTGTGAGCATTTTCGGGGGTGGGGGGAAGAGGAACGGAGTCGTTTATAAACCGGTCTCGATTTTTTTCCATCCGATTTTTTTTTAATCCGGATTTAAAACCGTTGCGCCGTTTTGAATTCACCCCTCCCCTCCGAATTTTAGATTTTTTTTTAAACCCGGGACTTTAGACTCCGGATTCCAGCCAGTCCCGGCATTAGAAAGGGGATTTGCAGTTAACGGGATTAGCCGGCGCAGCAGATGACTCAGACCCAGGGGAGCTGGGTGGGGGGTTGCAGAGGGGGATGGGGGGGCAGGCAGGAAACTTCCCCCGCCCGCTACGCGCTTTCCAGCGGTTTTAGCGCCAAACCCAACCCGCCTGCTGTTGGGGGGGGGCGTGTCCGGCGCTGCAAGGATTTGGCTTTGGTCTCGCTCGGGAGCGGGGCCGGATTCCCCTGGCAGAGCCCCCCCCCCCGGGTCTGGCTGCGGATTAATCTAGTGTCTCTCCCCCCGCCCGCCTGTCTGCTGCTGGTTAATTTCACGTCCTCTTTCTCTGCTGGTTAGTTTCAACCCCGCCCTTTGATCTCCATTGTCTGCCGCCAGGGGCGAGAGATAGGGAGGGAAATGGCCCCCTCACCCCAACTGCTATGTTGGGGGGGAGATATGAACGCCCCCTCCAGATCTTGAGATAGATAGCGGCAAAATCACCCCCCCCCCCATTTCTCTTCCGTTAATCAGTGGAAGGGGGTATTGTTCTCCGGTGTTAGGGGCGTTGCCTTATATAGGCAATATCTCTCCCTCCCCCCCCCCATTCTTCTCACTTGCTCTCTGGGGTCACCCTACCCTGCCCAGTGTGTAATAACCCCCCGCCCTTGCCCCCCTGCTTGCTAGATCCGGAGTGAGGCCACTTTCCTCTCCTGGACCCCCTTGGAAACCTTCCGTTACAGTGTTGCAGTTGGGGGGGGAGTTACCTTAAAATGTTGCAATGTGTGTGTGGGGGGGGAATCTTGTTTCAGTTGCAAATAAAGAATGTTACTTCTGGCGCCAAACCGCTGCTCCCCCCCTCCTCCTCCTTTCCCCTCCCCACCCACCATCTTCCCCACCTCTTTGTCTGCCGGCCCCACATGGCTGGCTGCAAGGCTGGCTTGATCCCCCCACCTCCTGGACTGGAGCTGTCCCTGCCCAGGGGTGCCTGATCCCTTCCCGTCGGTCCCCCGGCCCCCCGCCCCCCCGGAGGCCAGTGGGATCTCCAGTTTAAGTTGAGACACACGCCACATCCTTTGTGCCCGTAATGGCCGCCCTTGCACAGCTGGGGGGAGGGAAGGCGGGGGGGGGGGCGGTTTCCAGGCGGCTGCTAGACACTGAGGGACTTTCTGTGCCTAAAGAAGGGCCTGTTTGCAGTTGGATGGCTGCAAAATCCCCCCCCCCCCCTCCCCCAAGCAGTTGGCTGGCTCTGGCCCTGGGTTTCTCCACCTGGTGGGGTGGACAAAGAGACTTTCTTTGAGCCAGTGCAGAATCAGGAGCATCCCTGCTCAATGGACCCACCAGGCCCTGAGGTTTTATTTTTACGGCGGGGATGTTAACCCTCCTGCATCACGCACCTCATCCCCCGCCCCACCCAGCCTCACCTCTGCCTGACCGGGTTTGCCAGGCGGGCTTAATTCTGCGCTAGGCGTGGCTGGCAAATGAGGGGTGCTGACCCCACTACCAGGCGATATCGCAGGGGTGCGCTGTGGGAGGGCTGCCGATCGATCCCCCTCTGCCTGGATCCCCATAACGGAGATCCAATCCGCCCCCCCCCTCGAGATCCAATCCGCCCCCCCTCTCGCGCACGCTTTAAAACTGGCCTCTCTGCCAGGCCAGGGTGGGTGCGGCTCTAATAAGAAAGACCCAGCCCAGCAAATTCTTGCAGCGAGACCCAGACCTGGCTGCAAATGGCTGCTCTGTCAGAAGATCATGACCCCCCCCTCCCCCCCAAAAAAAATCTGTGGAGGCCCTGCCGTGCCAGGAATGTTTGGGGGAAATCTAAAGCAGGTTTTTCTGCCCCCCCCCTCCCTCCCAAAGAGCCTTCCTGGCTCCTGTTAGAGCCGTTCAGTTTATCCATCTGGAATCACTCTGCATTTGCACCAGGGTCTCTGAAATCAGAATCCAGCCCTGAATCCGCTGACTCAGGGTCTGGCTACGCTGCTCATTAAAGCCGGCCTCTGACGCAGGGCCCAAGCCCCCCTGCTGTCCACACGCAAATCAGCCTGACCCGCGTCAGCAAGCGCTCACAGCCTGGGTCCTAGCCCCCGTCCTGCTGTGGCTCTGGTCCAGGTCATGTCTTTTTGCTGTGTGGATGCAGTCCAAGCCACAACCCCGGGTCAGGTTTGTGCAGTGTGGACGCGTTAGCACGCCTATGAGCCCCCAGCCATGGAAAGCCCAGGTTTCCCATGCAGTGAGGTTGCTGAAGCACAACCGAGTCCACAAGCCTGGGGTCCCACAGCCCCGGGTTTACAATGCAGTGTAGACGCAACCTCAGTGACCCTGGTGTAAATCCAGATCCACTCCAGATTGACACCAGAGTTGCTGCGATCAGGGCAATTGGCTGCCACCTTCCTCACTGATCCGGGCTGGGACTGGGGGTGGATTTCCTGGTGCAGTGACCCGTGCTGCCAGAAATGCCAGGGATGTTGAAGGGGTCGGCTGGGCTGCCCTTGTGTTGTGGGTGGGGTGGGGTCCTGGCGGTGGGGGCTGGGGTGGAAACCAGAGATGTGTTCTCCGTGACAGATGCCCTGACACTGCTTTGTCCCAGGCAGGCTTGGAAGTGGGAGCAGGCTTGACTGGGGACAGCAGACAGTGACACCCCCCGCCCCAGTGGATTGATTTCACTGGTAGCCTGTTCAAACAGTCCCTGTCCTTGAGCCCAGGGGGCTGGGTCGGCCCGCACCCTGCTGGGGCTGAACACGGCTAGGATGATCTGTTAATGGCCAGCCAGGCCCCACACCCTGGTTTGCAATGTCCAAAAGCTCCTTTCAAAGCAGCCGGCTAAGAGGTGACTTAACTGACCAGCCGGCCTGGCTCCCAGGGCCTCCCCCCCCCCCATCCCACTAGCCCCCACTCCCCTCCCAGAGCCGGGGAGAGAACCCAGGAGTCCTGGCTCCCAGCCCCCCCCGCTCTAACCCGCTAGCCCCCACTCCCCTCCCAGAGCCGGGGAGAGAACCCAGGAGTCCTGGCTCCCAGCCCCCCTGCTGTAACCGGCTAGCCCCGCTCCCCTCCCAGAGCCGGGGAGAGAACCCAGGAGTCCTGGCTCCCAGCCCCCCTGCTGTAACCGGCTAGCCCCCACTTGCCTGTCAGAGCCGGGGAGAGAACCCAGGAGTCCTGGCTCCCAGCCCCCCCCGCCCCCGCCCGCTCTAACCCGCTAGCCCCCACTCCCCTCCCAGAGCCGGGGAGAGAACCCAGGAGTCCTGGCTCCCAGCCCCCCTGCTGTAACCGGCTAGCCCCGCTCCCCTCCCAGAGCCGGGGAGAGAACCCAGGAGTCCTGGCTCCCAGCCCCCCTGCTGTAACCGGCTAGCCCCGCTCCCCTCCCAGAGCCGGGGAGAGAACCCAGGAGTCCTGGCTCCCAGCCCCCCTGCTGTAACCGGCTAGCCCCGCTCCCCTCCCAGAGCCGGGGAGAGAACCCAGGAGTCCTGGCTCCCAGCCCCCCTGCTGTAACCGGCTAGCCCCGCTCCCCTCCCAGAGCCGGGGAGAGAACCCAGGAGTCCTGGCTCCCAGCCCCCCTGCTGTAACCGGCTAGCCCCGCTCCCCTCCCAGAGCCGGGGAGAGAACCCAGGAGTCCTGGCTCCCAGCCCCCCTGCTGTAACCGGCTAGCCCCGCTCCCCTCCCAGGGAGAGAACCCAGGAGTCCTGGCTCCCAGCCCCCCTGCTGTAACCGGCTAGCCCCGCTCCCCTCCCAGAGCCGGGGAGAGAACCCAGGAGTCCTGGCTCCCAGCCCCCCCCGCTCTAACCCGCTAGCCCCGCTCCCCGAGCCCAGGCTCAGAGCCCCAGGGGGGCTGACACCTGCGGCGGCTGAGAAGTGGCCGAACAGCTCTGAAGCCGCCAGCCCGCAGCAAGCGGGGGCGGGGAATCGGCTCGTAGGCTCAGCCGGGCGGGCGCCATCTGCTCTTTGCTCGGCTCAGAAGCGGGAAGCTGGATTTGCATCAGGGCTGGGGGAGGGGCGTGCAATGGGGCACAGCTCAGTCGGGGGGGGGGGGGGGACGGCGCTCGGGGGGGGGGCACCACCAATCCCAGCGCTCTGCCATCCCTGCCCTGGCTGACTGCCGCAGGGCTCCGGGGCAGGCCCACGGCCAGGGAGCGCTTCGGGCGGCAGAGGAAATCTGAAACAGCAGCAATGGTTCCCTGCCGGGCTGGGTTTGGCCATCGCATCCCGGCGGGGCAGGGCTGTGGCCGCTGGTGCTTAGCCCAGGGCTCGGGGGGGGGCACGTTGGCTCAGGCGTCACTTCCCTGGAGCTGGGCCTGAGGGGGTGAGTGCCCGGCCCACCCTCCCCGGCAAGGCAGAGCAGAGCCCCGCGGGAGCCCGAGACCACAGCCAAGTGTGGGGAGGGACAGGGATGCCCCGGTGGGGGTGGGGCGAGAGGGCTCTGTCCTGGGGGGGGGGGTGATGCACTCCAGTGGGCTGGAGATGTGATGCCAGAGGGGCCTCCTCTCTCT